TTGATGTCGGGGACGTTCAGGGTGAGGGAGAGGTTTGCCAAGTTCCGGACCTGCATAAGTTCCCCTTGTAACTCCAGTATCTTTTGTTACAGTCGCAAAACCAAGTCATTTGGTGCTAGAGTGCTTCGACCATCTAATGTTTCGACATTCTCTTCATGCATAGCATTGTATTTCGTGATATTGCTTGTATCATCCATTCTGGCTTTTCCTCTGCTTTAAGGATCGTTCGGGGGAGGAGGTGGAGGTAGAGGACCTCTTGATCTGGTATGATATACAGATGATGCCACTATGCACGAACCAACCTTAGGGGATGGGAATAAACAAATAAAGAAAAGAAGAAAAACTAAAAGGTAAACAAGTCAGTGAGGAGTATTAAAAGGATGTTGCGGTATTAAAACACATATTGCGGAATTATAAATTCGCGTCCTAGTTTGGGGACCTCATTGTGCCCGAGGTAGGCCTAAGAGACATATAGATTTGGAGAAAATCGATGCCAATAACTGCGTCATTTCATTAATATGATAAATAAACCAAATCTCTACTAAAACGACAATAATGATAAAGAGTCACTAGTGGCATGTGCCTTATTACAACCAAAGCCTAAAACGAGTCTAGAAAGCAAGTAAAAACATCATTCCTAATCTATTTGGTCCCAGAGGGACCTTCTCCATGCTTGGCTTTCTTTGCTCCATCGATCAGATTCCCCAAGTTGCGCTTATCCAGCAATAGATTTTCCACCAATCCAGCAGCAGTGGTGGGATGTTTAGGACCATGCCTAACCTGGGGATTCGTGCTTCATTTTCTGTAAACAAGTAAAGTTAGCCCTTTCCCCCTCTAGATTTGGTTATTTACACGTTAATGATCAACATATTGGCATGTTTTCTCCAAATAATGCACAGATCGTGATTGTGTCCATTGGGACTATGGAAATTCCGGCGGACTTTGGACAAGGCTTGTCTTAATGAGTTATTGCACGGACAACGTTCTAACTCATACTAGGTTTAGACATGATGAATGCACAGTTAACATCAGAGTGGGGTTTCTATACGAGTCTAGACTGGTACCCTCAAGCGGACAACTTCAGAGGGAAAGGCACGGAACCGTCGATTGCACCGCTGATCGACTAGTTTTACCACAAATAAGCCATTCCAAATTTAAAGGGTTGTTTAGGAAGAGCGCAAAGACTCATCAAGTGCCGCTATGATATTAATACGCACGAGTGGAATATGATGTGGAGCATGTTTTATGCAAAGATAAAATAACACATTATCAAGTACTTTCACATATTGAAAAATAAATGTAAATACTGAATGAACGTAAAGACATAAGATAAGAAAAACAGGGAAGACGTTAGTTCGCATAATGAAAGAATTGCAATAAAGCAAATAAAGGGGTAAGGGTTGGGGAGAGATATGATATAGAAAAAAGGTTTGGAGCAGGTGAACATGATTAGGGAATAAGGGGAAGCACATGTTGTAATCAAATTAAACGAAGAGTTGCATATAATTCATATAAAGGGGAAATAGGGAAAATGATGTGCATGTAGCAATAAAAGGGGAAAATGGGAGCGGGAGATTTAGGTAACAGCAAAATAACATAGACGCGCTTATCGGAGAAGACTAATTCACAAAAATCTAGTTCATTTATGGTAAGAGCCTAAAAACATCCCCAGCAGAGTCGCCATGTTGTCGCACCCCTTTTTCTCACGAAATCGGGTTTCGACATCGTGACAACTCTTTCAAAGGAAGGGTTTTAAAAGAGAGAGTCGCCACCTAACGGATTAAGGTGCGTTAGGGCACCTATATGCAAATAACTCTGTTTGACCATTTTGCGTCACCAAAGATCGGTTAAGGGCTCGAAATTACCTCGAAGAGAAGGTGTTAGGCACTCTTCGAGGTCCACAACTGTGGGTCCGCCGAACTCAATTATATGAATTAGTCTATGTGATCAAAGAAAACAAAGGGATTTTGGGAGTTCATTATTAAACACAAATAATAGATTGAAAGGAAAGGTGGGGGGTCCTAAGTTTTTTAGCCTAATGGATCACCCCGTGCAACATAAATAATACTTAGTAACTCCCTCGAGATGGGGTATTACTCATATTATTCAGCGGGCACAGATTATCATCTCCTGATACCCAATTACTATCTTTAAGTTGTTTACCAAAAGCGCACTAATCAATTCTAAGTCGTATCCTATGCGTGCACTACCCGTCCCATGCCTATGGTCCAGGAGGCATTTGGACCTCTATTTCAGGGTGGTTCTAGACTTTAACTTAGGCTGCTCAAAATGTCAAAAGTTAGGCGACATACAAAAACACATCGGACTTTCACGTATAAGCAAGTAAAGGGCTCAAGTTGGTGTAACGACCCGACCGGTCATTTTAAGAATTAACGCCCTGATCCCCCATTAACTGCATTCCCCATGTTTGTTTCTGCTGTTGTGAGTTGCCGGGAGGATTTATTTGGAGTTTCGGAGAGTTTTTGGACACTTAGTCCCCTAAATGAGAGTTAAAGTTTTAGAACTTGGACTATAGTCGGAACAGTGTGAAGACGGCCTCGGAATGGAATTCCATTGGTTCTGTTAGCTCCGTTGGGTGATTTCGGGTTTAGGAGCGTGTTCGGAATGTGTTTTGGAGGTTCGTAGCTTATTAGGCGTGAAATGCCAAAAGTTGAATTTTTAAAGTTTCCGGTTCGATAATGAGAGTTTATTATCGGGGTCGGAATGGAATTTCGGAAGTTGGAGTGGCTCCGTAGTGTTGAATGTGACGTGTGTGCAAAATTTTAGGTCATTCGGACGAGGTTTGATAGACTTTTTGATCGAAAGCGTAATTCGAGAGTTTTTAAAGTTCTTAGGCTTGAATCCGATGTTAATTCGATATTTCGATGTTGTTTTAGGTGTTTTAAGGATTGGTATAGGTTTGGATAGTGGTATATGACTTGTTTGTGCTTTTGGTTGAGGTTACGGGGGCCTCGGGATGATATCGGATGGTTAACGGAAGAGTTAGGAATTTGGAGTTGCAGCTGAAGTTTATGGCTGCTGTCATAACCGCATCTGCGGTTGAGAGGCCGCAGGTGCGACTCCCGAGATGCGAAATCAAGCCGCAGAAGCGGCCAGATGAGGAAAGGCTAGGAGTCCCAGGTGCGGAAGTGTCCACGCACCTGCGTGACCGTAGATGCAGTAAATAGGTCGCGGGTGTGGATTTGGGGAATTAATGAATTTTCGCAGGTGCGGTTGTTTCTCCGCAGAAGCGGGACCGCAGGTGCGGTCCCTTGACTGCAGAAGTGGATTTGATGGGCAAAAAATAAGAATTTCGAGGGTTTTAAATCAAAAGTTAGAAAAATTGATTTGGAGCTCGGGAGAGGGCGATTTTTGGGAGATTTTTGAAGAGAAGTGATGTGCCAGAAAATTTCGTCACATTTAATACAAATTGCTTAGATTTTTAGCTTGGTTTGAATGCAATATCTTTTATACTTATGTAATTTTAATGTTTTTGTAGTGTATGAGGTTTAAGGACCTAAGAACACGAAAATGAAATCAAAAAGCCGCAGAAGGACAAGAAAAGAGCAAAATGCGACTGCAGATGTAAAAATGCGGACCGTAAATCCAACATGCGGACCGCATAATGCTCAAAGGAATCGCAAAGCCCAACAGTCTGTTGGCCAAATTCAAGCGCAATAAATACGGTCCCTTATGCGACCGCATAACAGGTTTGTGGGCCGCATAACGGATCGCAAACTCCCTGTAGAAGTTGCTAAAGGTGGAAAATGCGGTGACAAATGCGATCGCAAATCAGTAATGCGGACCGCAGAACCTAAATGCGACGAATACCTGGGAACTAGGGCTTCGAAGATGCGATGTCTGTGACGATACTGCGGACCGCATGTCCGCTATGCGACAGAAATGTGGTCGCATAATTGACCTGGAAGGGTATTTTTGTTCGAATTTGGTCTCGAGTTTTGGCCCACTATAAATAGATTTATTGGGGTTTTGTGGGGGAATCTTGTCTGGTTTTTGAGCTACATTCCAACCTTTGAATATTCCCCTCTTTTGGAAGCTTTAGGAGTGAGGAATCTTGCACTTTGTAAGCTTTATGGAATTTAGTATTCTCATCTTTTTGTATTTTAGCATGAATAGCTAGCTTAAAATACTAAGGTTGTGGACCCTAAATGGGTGTTATGTTAATGGGTGTTTAACATTGAATAAATATATAATGGTTGGTTGATATATATTTACTTCTCATTCTTCATTTATTGTTGGTGGTTGCAAACATTAACAAGTTCCATTAAACTCTTTCTTTACTTGGATAAGTGGGTTAGAGTTTGGTAGAAGTAAATATCAAAGACTCAAGGCTTTAAACCTTGTTTAATAGAATCTCTTAGGAATAAGTGGGTTTTATTTGGCATAAATTGATTACTCGTAATTGCAACTCTTTTATATTTTGAAAAATCATAAAGAGGAAATACTACCCAACTATTGGAAAATATTGGGTAGTCATTTAGAAATCATTTGCATATCTAAAGGACCTTCCATTAGAAATATATCATATTAACACCGATAGCATTACATTCCATTGACGGGGACACAACCTTGGTTTCCTTAATCAATTTATTTACATTCTCAACATTACAATTAGTTATCTCTTCAAAATCATAATCATATCATACTCTTGTTACAATTAACGGAATAGAATTACGACTTAAGTCAAGTAGCACACTACTCGAGTAACCTTTTCACGCCTATTCCCTGTGGGATTCGACCCCAACCTTGTTGGGTTATTATATTTGACACTGACCGCCTTACACTACTTAATTAAAGTGTAATTTGAGCGTATCAAATTTTGGCACCATTACCGGGGAATACGATTTTGAAATTACTAATTAGTGTGTGCTTTACTTTACATCTTATTCTACTCCATCACACTTTGCTTGTTTTGCTTGGTGTTGATAGGAAGACATGGCCAAATATGAGGAAGAAATGGATGAAAATCCTTTGCGGACATGGATGAGTACATTGAGGATACAAATGCTATTGTACCTCCGGTTGTTGGTGCTTCAACTTTCAAAGTGGAACATGGTTTAATCCTAATGCTCAAAGCGGAGGGGTTTTTCAGGAATTCCTGATGATGATCCGACACGACATCTTAGAAACTTCTTGGGTGTGTGTGCGATGCATAAGCAGAACAACGTCTCAGATGATGCCCTAAGGTTGAGGGTGTTCAAGTACTCACTAGCTGGGGACGCGAGGAAGTGGCTTCAAAACTTGCCACCAAATTCCATTCATTCTTGGCCTGAACTTGTCCGAGCATTCTTAGCTAAATGGTTCCCGCAAAGCAAGAAATCTGAGCTTCGGGATAAAATTTTCTTCTTCAAGCAACTACCGGGAGAACATCTACACGAAACATGGGATCGATTCAAGTTATACTTGGTGAGGTCGCCCAATCATGGTTTTCCGGACTCTATCTTGTTGGAGAAATTCTACATAGGTTTAGATGCTATGAACCAATCTATAGCCAAGAATGCAGCTGATGGATCTTTTATGGACAAGAAATTCACAAGGATCACACAAATCCTTGACAAAATGGCACAACACAATCAAGCTTGGCACTCAGAGGACACCACAGGTGGAATTCCATATGGTTCTCCCTCCTTGACCAACCTGATTAAGGAGAATCAAGAGAGAGATCAAGTAATCGCAGGGCTTGCCACCAATGTCAATGTGTTGACAAAGATGTTCACTGAAAGCCAAACGAAGAAGGTAAATGCAGTGGAGGATGTGCAACCCATATCAAATGAAGACTTTGAAGAAGCAAACTATGTCAACAACTCTCAAGGAGGATATCAAAGGCAACAATACCAAGGTCAAGGACAACAAAATCAATGGAGGCCTAACCCGCAAGGGCAAGGCAACCAACAGTGGCTAAATGACCAAGGTAGCTCAAATCAAGGAAATTGGAATAACAACAACGACTTCTCAAATCGGAGTTCAAACCCTTATGTTCCACCAAAGGGTCAATATTCAAATCAAGGGTCCTCAAGTGATTCCAAGTTGGAAAGCATGCTTGAACGGGTATTGCAAAAGCAAGAGAGGTCCGACACTTCTATAAGGAATATGACCGAGCTTGTGGGATCTCATACCGTATCCATTCAAAAATTGGAGATGCAAATGAGATACCTCTCTAGGGGACAAAATCCAAAGCAAAAGGGAACACTCCCTAGTGACACAATTGCGAACCCAAAGGGTAGCGGATGTGGTCCAACTTCTCATATCATGGCAATTACTACTCGGAGTGGGAAGGTACTACAAGGAGAGATTGAACAAGTGGATGAAGTAAAAGAGTCCAAAAAAGAGGTTGAGGTTGAAGAGCAAAGGGTTGTTGAAGTTGAAAAGGTTCCGGAAGAGTTGAAAGTTCAAGAAGTGAATCGGGAAGAGGTAAAGGAAAAGGTAAAAGAGACACCAAAAGCTCTACCACCTATTCCTAGACCTCCTCCTCCTTTTCCTCAAAAACTTGCGAGGAAGGTTGATGATAGCAAACTCAAAAAATTCTATGACATTCTCAAACAGTTATCGGTAAACATTCCATTCGTGGAAGCATTTCAAGAGATGCCGGGTTTTGCTAAATATTTGAAGGACTTGATCACAAAGAAGAGAACCACCAAGAATGAAGTGGTGAATGTGACTCACTGGGTTAGTTCCATCATTGCAACAACTACCGTTCAAAAGAAAGAAGACCCAGGAGCTTTCACCATTCCATGTACTATTGGGGCACGTGATTTTGCAAGAGATCTTTGTGATAATGGGGCTAGCATTAACTTAATGCCTCTTTCTATTTACAAGCAAGCGGGATTAAGTATGTCGAGGCCTACAAGTATGAGGTTGCAAATGGTCGATCGTTCTATAAAGAGACCGGTGGGAATTGTTGATGATGTGCTTGTAAAAGTGGGAGAGTTCCATCTACCCGCCGATTTCGTAATCCTTGATTGTGCAGTTTGTCGATGCCCCATTTTTCTCATGAAATAGAGTTTATGACATTTGGGCGGACAACTCTTTTCCTTTTGTGAATCGGGTTTGCAATTTAGAAGAGTCGCCACCTAATGATTGAGTGCATTAGGGCACTAAGAAAAAAAATAAAAAAAAAAAAGAACCAGAGAATGGGTAAGGGCTTGAAATTATCTCGGGGGGAAGGTGTTAGGCACCCCCCAAGATCCACTAGTGTGGTTCCCGGCCATGCTATAATTGTGAATTTAAATATAAAAAACATACAAGACAACTTTCACATAACGATTGCAAACAAGGGAAGTATAAAAGTTAAATAAACATGCTGAAGTTCGGAGATAGGCGATTTCATAATTATTTAAGGGATATACAAGTGCAGGAAAAGGGGGTCAAATAATTGGTACAAATAATCAAACAAAGGGAATAACAGAGGCGGAGGTTTGGAGAAGAAACAGTGTTGGAAATCAAATAATTAAAAGAGATTTTTTAGTGATTGAAGTAAAAGAAGAAGTTTAGAGAACTGAAAAATTAACAGCTTTTTCTAAAAAAAGTTCTGGAAAGAAAAGAAAGTAAACAAATAAAGAGGGAGGGGGTCCTAGGTTTATACATAACATGAATCACCCCACACAACACCCGGTAACCATTTATACACGTGGTGCTATCGCGTAGTCATCATATCCATGTTTACCCTTACCCACCCCGTTAAGGTATTAATTCGCGGAATGGTCTCGTTACTTATTGCATGCTATTACCCGCCCCAATCCTATCAGTTCCGGAGGCAGTTGGGACCACTAATCCTAAAGGGAAGGGAGATTGGCTTTTAAGAGTTTTAAAAGGACGAAAGTCTAGTGCGACAAACAAAACACATAAAAGCGGTAAAAGGGGAAACACATAACAGTTAAGGGCTCAAATAGGCCTCCTCATTCAAAGCAACGAATTGTTTAGCATGACTTACAGGTACTGGTTAGGTCCTTAATTATACTTAAACGTTAAAGGGGTGGCTGATTTATCACATATTTTAAGATAAGAAGTCCAAATTAGGCCTGCCTGCTGATTGTAATTATTAAAGACTGGTATAGTTAATTAGTTACCTAATGGTTTGCCTAGGTGAGACCTATAGGCATGATATCTAACAAGGTAAAGCATGCAGATTTTAAGGACGGATTACTGATTTTAGAAATAAACCAATTCTGCATATACTAAATGACATTATTACTGATTTTAGACTCGCGGACGAATCAGATATAAACGATTGCTCCTATAGGCATGAATTCTAAGCGTTACAGATTTTTAAAACGGTTACGTAAGTGCAGGAATCCTATAAGCATGGTATCTAGGATGCGATTGACTATTCTTTAACCCACAGATTGTTTGGCTAGTGACATATGCATATGTAGAAGTGCAGAAACTTATAGGCATGACTTCTATATACGGAAACGCAGACACTTATAGGCATGGTCTCTAATGTGGGAATGCAGAAACTTATGGACATGGTCTCTAATGTAGGAATGCAGAAACTTATATACATGATTTCTAACGAAATGCATAACTTATAGGCAGGATTTCTATATGCAGTAATGAAACAACTTATAGGCAGGATCTCTATATGCAGATACATAAACGAAAAGGTTGTGATTGCAGAAGTAAAGACCTAAAACATGATATCTACCCCATATGCATAACATGAGTGACCCTCCCCCATTTTTACTATACACCCTATAAGTTATTACAAGATTATTACAACTTGAATGAATCCAGAAAAAAGTGAAGAAAATTACATCAGAAAAAATTCCAACGCAAGGAGAGCCTAATTTAGACCTCCTAGTCTGAAACATGAAATAAACCAACTTCAAAAGATCCGATTTCCAAAGCCTTTCTCATCTTTGGGTGTGTCAAAGTTCCAAGGAGCTTCATGAACTCCAGGCAGTGCTTACACCTAAATACATTGCAGGATCAGATTATAGTGCAGTGTGGAAGAGCCAGCCCTCAAATGTCCAAGTTTAGAGGGAACTCAAGGTCCCCAAGGCAAGGCTCATAGGAGGGGGGCAGAACTTAGAGTCTAAGAGTAAGTGTAAGTGCAATAGAGGGGAAGTTAGGGAAGGCCATGACAGGCTAGTGGTCATGCCCAGCAATTAGGAATGCTGGCACACCCCTGACCAGCCTGTTAGCTAGATTTGGGAGTTAGAACCCATTGAAGGTCAGGTTCGACTTTAATCAGACATAAAGGTGAGAAAGCAAGCCTTTGAAACACACTCAAAGGTTTGTTTCAGAGCCTCAACAAAACAGATATGAGAGCATGTTTGAACAACAAAGTAAGAAAGCTGATTCAAGATCATGAAGAACATATTTGAGAAAACTCGGACCTTAAACGAGTTCAGAAGAAAGAGATGATACAAACTTAAACAAAAGCAGATGAAGCATGTTTAGCAAGAATACGAACAGAGTTTAGTAAGACAAAAATCAAAGAATCTCAACGTTAAACACATATAGTAAAAGAGCAAAGAAAACATAACAGGATTAACATAGGAGTAACATGTATAGTAGAAAAAAGAAAACTAGACAGACAGTACATGCGTAGCTAAAGAAATCACACGAGCATGATATAGACAACACACATAAAGCAAAGAAGAAGAAAAATCAAAAAGATTTTTGGAAAAATCCTTTCAGAAACCCTAAAATCGAAGACGAACGATTATGAAAAGAACTTTTGGGGAAAACACTTTAAATGTCAAGTGAAGCATAGATACAGCATAGATCTAAACAAACGACATGGAAAGAACCTCGAATAGCTTAGGGTTTCATAGAAACCCTAGAAATGAGAAAGGCTTGGAAGAAGGTCCGATCTTGAGTCGGAGAGGTCAAGAACAGGCTCCTGAGTCTTGAATATGCCGGAGCATGCCGGAGAAGCCATAAAATCAAAGGTCTGAGAAGATCGGAGAGGGAATCATCGAGTTCAGGTCTCGAAGCTTCGAATAACCATGGCTTACTGGTGAAGGTAGGTGAGTACCAACTATCCATGGCCTGAGAAGCCATGGATTCCGGAGACAGGCGGTTGAAAAGGGGTAGGAGGAGGCTAGGGTTCAGGAGAGCTTGAGAGAGTTTGAGAGAGTTTGGGATTCAGAGGTGGCTGAGAAGTAGGGAATGAGGGATCAGGGTAGGTCATTTCGGGTTAAAATGGGAAGGGGGAATTATGGTCGTTGATCTGTACGATCAACGGCCCAGATCTAAAGGGGTAGGTGGGAACCGGGTAGGGTCGTTTGAATTGGGTTATGGGTTGGGTCGGATTAAAAAATGGGCCAGTCCGGTTGGGGTTGAGATTGGGCCAATTAAGGGTTAAAATTGAAATGTAAAAGAGGCTGTAATTGAAATGAAATGAGGCTGAATGTTAAATAGCCAGTTTTACCCTTTTTATTTATTTAAAAAATAGCAAAATGATTTTTAAAAATAAATTAAAAGCACTGAACCAATTAGTAATATATAAAAGTTAATTAAAAAATATTGGAATCAATTTTATAATTATAGAAATGCTATTAAACCTAAAATAGGCAAAAAACTCAATTGTATGTATTTTGGCTTTTAAAATACCAAATAAAATTGTAATAATATACAAAAATCACCCAAAGTTGATAGTTTTGGGAATAGTTACTGATTTTTGTATTGCTAAAATGGACAATAAATTGATTTTAAAAATCTTTAAAATTTATGAAAAATACCAAAACACTTGGGCATGCTTATATATGCATATATATGTTATTTTGAAAGTATTTTGTATATGAAAAAAAATACGTAGGGAAAAATTGGGTATCAACAGCTGCCCCTCGTTACCCGGGAAGGATGAAAGAGTTGTCGGGTAAAGATATGATGGACAATTTTGACCGAACGAAACAATTTGAAGAATTTTGACCGAGCTCGGGTTTCTGAGCCACCTACATATCCTTGGTTTTACAGGAATCAGGCCGTATGTAGTTCAGGATCCATCGGCGGAACATGCCGGTGGAGATTTTTTCAAGAACGGACGAGATATTCGGGTTGGGAAAGACGGTCAAAGTCTAACAGGCTGCGGGAACTGGAGCGGGATCGCTCCTGCTGCGACGGCCGTTGCTAGCCGATTTACCTGCAAATAAACAACACGAGTGCATATATTGTGTATAAATTTAAACGTGATGCAAGTTCCCGTTGGACTATGAATGCTGTCTTTGGACGGTTAGGATGACGTCCTCGGACCATGATGTCCTGGGCCATGAAACATATAATAAAGGATTCTCAAGCTATGAAATGAAGTTCTCGGGCTATGGGAATGATGCCTCCGAACCATGATGCCTTTGAATAATGCAATACAGAGAGAAAGTGGGGTCCTCAGGTCATGGCATGACGTTCTCGGGCTATGAAAATGGTGCCTCTGAACAATGATGCCTTTGGACGATTTGGCGATCTTACAGCCCATGAAATGCAGCAGGTGGCGATCTTTCAGCCGGCACAAGGCGTAAAAATAAAAGATGGCGATATTTCATCCGTGAAAAAAATATAGATAAAATGGCGATCTTTCAGCCGATGCAGGATTTAAATGAGGTGGCGATATTTCAGCCATGCAAATGGAGGTAGAGCTTAACCTCGGGAGGCAGAATAGTAGCCTTATGCAATAATGGAGACAGAGCTTAGTTTCGGAAGGCAGAATAGTAGCCCTATGCAATGCAAAATGCAAATGGAGGTAGCGCTTAACCTCGGAAGGCAGAATAGTAGCCTTATGCAATAAAGGAGACAGAGCTTAGTCTCGGAAGGCGGAATAGTAGCCTTATGCAATGCAAAATGGAAATGGAGGTAGAGCTTAACCTCAGAAGGCAGAATAGTAGCCTTATGCAATAATGGAGACAGAGCTTAGTCTCGAAAGGCAGAATAGTAGCCTTATGCAATGCAAAATGCAAATGGAGGTAGAGCTTAACCTCGGAAGGCATAATAGTAGCCTTATGCAATAAAGGAGACAGAGCTTAGTCTCGGAAGGCAGAATAGTAGCCTTATGCAATAAT